TTGTTAGTCTTATCCCATCCCTGGTTGGCGAAATTCTCCGCTTCATTTTAAGTTCACTATTCTGCTTTCATAATGATCTACATCGGGTCTTGTCCGGATGCTAACGTTGTGCGGAATAGATGTCAGTCTTTTTGCGATAGGCAGATTGTTCCAAGGGACTCCACATTCCCCTCAGCTATCTCGTCCCATCCTTCCTCTTCCTCTATTGGGTTCCATATTTGTTCTACCCATAAATACGAGAGTTCCAGAGCGATCTCCAACCGTACTCAGTCACAAAGAGTTCCTCTTCATTCGTTCCTTGATGGTATGGACATTTTTACTCCCCCTCTGAGTTATCTTGGTCTCCATCCCTTAAACATGCGGTCATTCAGACGTTGTTCTCTAACCATTATGCTACCTGCACAGCGTCAACCACCCATTCCACCCATGCATGTGACCCTCTTCTCATAAATCTCACTCCTTTATCGCGTCTTCCTCCTCTTCGTCGATGAAGTCAGTTTGTCTAGGAAAGTTTCTCCTAAAGCCACATTCTTGTAAACTATTTTCCAATGCGTAGGGCTCAGGACATACATATCATCAATGCTAAGGCAATTCAACATCTCAGCTAGTTCCCTCGCCCAATATCCTTCGAAGGGCCCCATTTGTACTTATAGTCGGAAAAAGTCATGCCTAGCGCATTGGTACAATCCGAGGTTTGTCATGGCTGTTTTGGGTCCCAAAGACCGCATGTACCAGAAACGGAGGCAACACACGCGTCATCGTTCTAAGTGGTCGTCTCACGTTCTCTCTATCCCCAAGCTCCACCTGCACGTCTATCTCATCCATTTCCATTTTGCCCGCTAACATGCTGCCCACATTACCTCCCGTTCCATCTGCCTAAACAGTTTGTATGGGACTATCCCCAGTGTCAAGTCAACAACCATAGCGTTTTCCCCTTCCTGGGATAAATAAATCCATCCTCAGACTTCCGTTGTCCCTCGAAATTCTAGATCAGTCAGGCTTGGCGTCAACCGCATCATGCTGACCTTGGTCCATAGGATCTCTATCCAAAGGAAGGCGTCCCCCTCGTCCAACATTACGATCTGATAGGCCGGTTCTAGGTCGGTCAAAGTTCCCTCTTCCAAGAGGACGACCGATACCCCACCCTTTACATCTACCGATGCTTATGGTCCATTGAAATAGATAGGAGACGGTAGCCACCACACCATCTGGGCTTCAATACCCGATCCCTGTTTTCACAATCGAGCACCAACCTCGCCCCTTCGGTCTGGTTAGTTTATACCCTGGATGAAGATTATTTCAGACCCCCCATCAAGGTCTTGCATAACCTACCCCCCTATTCCCAAATTTCCTTTTTCCTTGATACCTCCAATCGGTTTCCCCCTTACCAGTATTATTTTTCTTGGTTCTATTCAAACTGACCTTTATCCTGCTCCTCATGATCTTCACTCACTCATGCGGACTTAGATGGGAGGCGATAATAGACTAGAATCATGACCCTATCCCACGGCTCGCATTTCAATCAAGCTTTATAGAGAGGGGGGTTACAAAAAGAAAGAATGCAGACAATCTCATATACAGGGCGATTATCTCCTCACCGACCTTTTTCCCAGTGTGGTCTTTCCACTTTGCTTTCGGCGGGCCTTCCACCCAATTCAAGCGCAGCTCAACCGTTGCAAGCGCGGTACCTCAACTTCGGTACAGGGTATCACCCCTCTCCGTTTGGTCAGAATACCTCATCTGTTCTTGCCGCTTTTGCACGCCCCCATCGATACTGGGAATCAACCCGCATACCGCTAGTAGGACTCAAGACTCACACTCCGGGCATTCACATCCTTTAGGCTATCAGAAACTCGTATTTTCTCTGTCGTACTTTGGCAAGCTATTGGCCGTCACAATCGAGCACCGATCCCGCCCCTTAGGCTCGGTCGGTCTATACCCTGGATGAGGATTATTTTAGACCCCCCATCAAGGTTTTACATAACCTACCTCCCGATTCCCAAGTTCCCATTTCCCTTGATACCTCCAATCAGTTTCCCCCTTACCCATATTTCTTTTCTTGGTTCCATCACACTAACCTCTATCCTCCTCAAGATCTTCACTCACTCGTGCGAACTTAGATGGGGGGCGATAATAAACTCGAATCATGACCTTGTCTCATGACTTGCATGTCACTCAAGCTTTACTGAGGGGGGGATTACAAAAAGAAAGAATGAAGGCAATCGCACATACAGGCCGGTCATCTCCTCACCGACCTTTTTCCAGTGTGGTCTCTCCACTTTGCTTTCGGCGGGGCTTCCACCCCACTTCAAGCGCAACTCAACCGTCACGAGCGTGGCACCTCAACTCCGACACATGGTATCACCCCTCTTCGTTTGGCCAGAATACCCCATACCTTCTTGCCGCTCTTGCACCCCCCCGTCGATACCGAGAATAACCCCGCATACCGCTTGTAGGAATCAAGGCTCACTGTCCGGGCATTCACATCCTTTGGACCATCAGGAATTTGTCTTTTCTCTGCCATACTTTGGGAAGCTACTGGTCGTCCCCAACGCAACCCCCCCCTCACTCGACATGAGGTGGTCTTTCCCCCACCAACCGGCAACAACTTTCGCCTCCGATGTGACTCTTCACATCCCGCTAGGTAAGGTACCGAGCGACACTCGACCCTCCCTTGCGTGAATGGTACTGGCTAACCCCGTGAGACCAACTCCTACCAACAGCTCGCGAGACCACCCTACCACACATAAAACAAAGGACCACCTATGGGAAGCCACTTTTCTCAACCCACCCCAGCAAGGTCAGACCTTCTTCCTTCCCTTTCGTAGGAAGGACGGTCAGTTTCCCTTCAAGCAATCACAAGTCTCACGTGGAACACATATAAACAAGTGTCTTTTCCTTGGTGCACATAGTGCATCCTACCCATACCTCACAATTTTCTCTCAGAACAGTGTGTGTCATTCCCCCTGACCCTTCAGTACATTATGGCTGGTTCCTTCTCGTGAGCATCTTCAAGGGTGAGATAGTTGTCTTAGGAGTCCAGCAACTCTCTTCATTCTCTTTCTCTACTTGGGTATGTACATACCTACTTCTCTAAAAGCTCGCCCTTTGCGTCGAAAACTAGATTCAATGGCAACAATTCTATAAGTTGGTTATTAGGATAGGTCCCCCCCCCTAGAGAACCGTACGTGAGCTCTTTCAACCATTTGTCGTTTCATAGGGTATGATTGGTCCTTTTAGATGACTGTTGTGTTCATATAGGTTCCTTTAAGCGATTCGGAGTGTTAGTGCGGGGGCTCCTCTGGCCCCAGAAGAAGCATATCGAAAGACACTCATCCGGTCGGGTCACTCCGTCGTGGGATTTTTATTGGACCCCCGCCAGGACCGGAGCACCAACCGCCTGCCAGGTAACCGGAGCTTTATTTCAGAAAACGAGCGAGGGTCGACCTGCGACTTGCCACATGCCTCTCCGGACTGGCGAACACCAGTGCCAGAAGTGGTAGGGCTAGAGACACTCTCCAAAAAGGAGCCAACTGATCAAGTGTGCAATTATGCATGTTATACCTCCAGGGCTGGCCATGTCATGCACTCAACCAACCTAAAATGTTATTGTCTCAAGGGGAAGAGCAAACACAAGTCCCTATTCCTTCCTCTTTGGTTATATACACGGTCCTGCGTAAGGTGCCCCCTCCGGAATGGTAAGGGTCAATTTAATCCCCTACCCGACACCTCCACCAATTTTGTAAGTCCCCACCCTGTTAGACTTTCGAACCGAAGTCGACCCTTTTCTGGGTCCCAGGTGGCTCAGCTCCGCCCACTCTCATGCTTAGGGTGTGGAGCCATTCATCACAGAATCACCCCCACCTATTGCTTTGAGATGGATGGGGTTGGGCCAAGGACCGAGAGAGCTTTGACATTGGGGGATGTAGCTCAACTTTCTCGCTAAGTGGCTAGTCCCACTGATCCTTTGCAAGCGTCATTCTCTCGATACTCTGTTATGTTCGCAGACAATTGGCCCTTTCAATACTCAAGCAGTCAAGGGAATCTTTTGAGAGTTTTTTTTTCTTTTGTGTGTAGGCCAAGCGCCCTCCTTGGGCCACACATCCATTCACTAGGCGTAAAGTCTTATAACATTATTGAGGAGGGGCACTCTTCGGCTTAGGCTCGTGGACTGAGTCATGTTGGCCCCTATGCCCTCAACTCCCACTTGTAGTCAATCCTTTTGCGAGCATCAGCTATCTCATACATCATTCACGTTTCATGTATCGCATTTCATTACTTGTCTATTCGCCCATTTGTCCTTTCGGGGTCCCACCAGCATACTTATGCGATTCGGCGACATTATCGACCAATTGACGCTTTTGCAGATCACAACCATTCTATCTTTCTCTCCCTTCCCTCAAGGACGTAACAACATGCATAAAGATTAATCCATGGGAAAGGGTTACGTTCACAACCCATTTAGCTTCCGTCTCTTTTTCGCCGCCCGACCTATCCGGGCGCTATCCAGCTGAAGGCATCCTAAGGGCTACTCACCTGCACACTCAATGCAATATAGACAAGTACAACCCCCATTCGGGGTCAACACATAATATCTCCCAAGTGCTTATTTTCTTTCTCTCTTGGTTGCTTACTTGTCTGTTTCTTTACAATGTACAAGCCATCTTCTTCTCGTTCTCATGCAGTCGGGGTGTTGGTCGAGTCCACTGACCTCTCTTTCTCTCAATGAGTCTTTTCAAACCTTGGGCCCTTTCCAACCCTAAAATCCTTATGAGTCCTTCAATCCTTTTTGCTTGCAAGTCTTTCCCAATCTCAAGCATTTTCCCTTCTTGGTGGCGTAATGAACCGACAACCCTTCCCTTGCCCTTTCTTTCCACCAAGTGAGGCCAAAGTTCTTTCACCGTTTGTTCCCTGGCAATGTGACAAGTGAGTGGGGAAGGGTTAGCCGAATGCCAAGAGGGTTAAGGATAGTCTTCAAAGCACGAACGTGGTAGATGAGGGGGAGTCGACGGACAAGGAGGTCAGCTAAGTTGGATGGCTGAAGGAGGCGGAGGAGAGAGAAGGTGTCAAGGTGGTCGGCTATGGTTGATGGGTGGAGGAGGTGGAGGAGGTGGAGGAGGTGGAGGAGGTGGAGGAGGTGGAGGAGGTGGTAGGCTATGGTTGATGGGTGAAGGTGGTGGAGAAGATGGAGGAGGAAGAACGTGTGAAGGTGGTTGGCTATGGTGGATGGGTGAAGGAGGTGGAGGAGGAAGGAGGTGTGAAGGTGGTTAGCTATGGTGGATGGATGAAGGACTTGAGGGAGGAAGGTGGTGTGGAGGTGGTTGGATACGGTGGATGAGTGAGGGAGGTGGAGGAGGAAGAAGGTGTGAAGGTGGTTCACCACAGTGGATAGGTGAAGGAGGTGGAGGAGGAAGAAGGAGTGAGGGTAGTTGGCTATGGTGGATAAGCAAAGGAGGTGGAGGAAGAAGAAGGTGTGAGGGTGCTTGGCTATGGTGGATGGGTGAAGGAGACAAAGGAGGAAGAAGCATAGATGGTGGTCGGCTATGGTGGATGGGTGAAGGAAGTGGAGAAAGAAGAAGGCGTGAGGATGGTTGGCTATGGCGGATGGTTGACGGAGGTGGAGGAAGGTGTGAGGGTGGTTGGCTACGGTGGATGTGTGAAGGAGGTGGAGGAGGAATCGTTAAATAAACAAGCAACCTAACACCCACGTATCGAATTAGAACTCGAGGTAAAATAAAAGGAGAAAGGATAAGCCCATCAGGTATGTAGATCGGGCGACATATGGTTGTTATTCTCACTGCCTCCAAGGTAAGGCTCGAACACAAGTTCAGAACACTAACTTGCATAAAACATAAATATATACGAAACTTACATTGCCATACACCAATGTCCTCAACTTTACTGTTCCTTGTAACTCATTCCATACCTCACACATTAAAGTTCCAACCATTGTCCAACTTTTTATAAGAACTCATCATTTCTTTATATTGCCCATTAAAGAAGTATGGTTAAAACTCTTAAAGAAAATATATAAAATTTCAGGGCTAAGGCACGAAGTTGAGATACAGGTGTAAGCAAACTTGTGTCGGGAGCCGACAAATCGACAATCAACCGACATGTTGTCAAAAGAGAATAGAAGACGATCCTCGTAGGGTTGGGCTGAAACTAATTTGATCTTGACTCGAGAGGGCCAAGAAGGACCTGTTAGCACATCACATGCCAAATCCGAATACTAAATATTAAGTGTATGGAGAATAAACCCCCATATCATATCTCACTCAAATTCTCATGAAACTAACTCTTAAATCTATCTCTCAATAAGCACCAGAGAATAAGAAACATTTTGGCAGCATCTCCCCTACACAGGGTGGATCGCCAAGACATTTGCTATCAAAATATAATCTAACTATTCAAAATTAAGCAAATTTTAGCAGCGGTTCTCGTAGGAAAAATGTATTTCCATAATTTATACAATGTTAAACACAAGACTCAAGATAATTCTGATTTCACAAAGTCAAATTTTGTCTAACTCCCTGATTTAGTAAAACTTTTGGCAACACCTCCCCTAGAAAAGTTGGTTTCCCATATTTTTACTAAGCCAGATATGAACTCAGACACAAGTCAAAATTTGCAAAAGTAAAATTTGACTAACATTTTGGATTTGCATAAATTTGGGCAATACTTCCCTTGGCGAAAGTAGCTTTCCAAAATTTATACTAAGCGTAAGTTGCTTATCATTTTTGGCTAGATTAAATTATCGGAATATCCGACCTCTTTATCCGACGTCTTGTTTATCCGAAATATTGATAAACCGAAAAATACACCGAAAAAAATTGATATATATATATATATACGCTTACATAGAACTATCACAGGTTCAAATCTGGGATTTTTTTTGTGAGAAACACATTGAATATCCATTATAGTGTTCCCCCTCACATTTCGAAATCATTATCCAATCGAATCGATTGATTCGATTGGATAACGATTTTGTTTTTTTAATTGATTGATTGATTGATTAATTGATTGATTTAGGAATAAAAAATAAAAAGTGGGTTAGGGAGCTGGGCTGCGGGTGAGATGGGTTTGAGGCAAGACAATTTGCCTCTCACTTACCTCACTCGACGCCCCCCCCCCCCCAAACCTCCTTTGTCCTCCTCCTCCTCTCTTCTACTCTCCTCCTCCTTCGCTTCTTCTTCGTCCTCCTCCCTCACGTCATCCTCCTGCTCTTCTTCGTTGTCCTCCTCCTCTTCCTCCTCGTCTTCCTCCTCCTCCTCCTCCTCCTCTTCTTCCTCCTCCTCCGCTTCTTCCTCCTTCTCGTTTTCCTCCTCGTTTTCCTCCTCCCCATCCTCCTCTTCTTCCTCTTCCTCTTCATCCTCCTCCTCGTCCTCCTTTTCCACGTTCGCCCTTTCCTCTTCCTCCTCGTCTTCATCCTCGTCTTCCTCTCCTCATCTTCCTCCTCGTCTTCCTCCTCGTCTTCCTCCTCGTCTTCTTCCTCGTCTTCCTCCTCGTCTTCTACCTCCTCGTCCTCCTCTTCCTCTTTGTCATCCTCCATCGCCTCTTTGTTCTCGTCCTCCATCTCCTCCTATTTCTCCTCCTCTTCCTCTTCCTCCTTGTTTTCCTCCTAGTCCTCTTCTTCTTCCTCCTCCTTCTCCTCTCCCTCTCCTCCTCCTTCTCCTCCTCGTGAGCCATATTTTTAAACTAAAATCTAGTTCAAAATTCCCTCGAATAGAACACATCCTCACCCAACCCTAAAGCTACCGGTAGGCTCCCATCCCTACGTGACCCCCAAGGCAGCGGATCTTGCGGCCTAGGCCGTGGCTGAGGAGCACGGCTCGGCCACGCAGCTGAGTTTTTTTGCGGCCGCACCATGTTCAGGGAAATCGACCCGCGAAAAATCGGCCCGCAGAAAATCGGCGCGCGGCCTCAGCCTGCGCACGTCCTCCTCTATAGGACTGCGCAACAAAAGAAAAAAAAAATGATTTTTTTTTTGGGGGGGGGGTTACCGAGTACCAAAATTAATTAAAAAAATAAAAAAATACAATTTGCGTTGATTGATTGATTGATTGATTGATTGATTGATTGATTGATTGATTTGTTGATTGATTGATTGATTGATGTATTGATTGATTGATTGATGGATTGATGGATTGATTGATTGGTTGATTAATTGATTGATTGGTTGATTAATTGATTGATTGATTGATTGATTGATTGATTGATTGATTGATTGATTAGTTGATTGATTGATTGATTGATTGATTGATTGATTGATTGATTGATTAGTTGATTGATTGATTGATTGATTGATTGATTGGTGGGGAAGGGGTCCTCCCTCCTTTCCCAGGCACATGCGCACACACACACACACACACATACACACACACACACACACACATACACACACACACACACACACACAAACACACACACTCAAACACCTCTCTCTCTCTCTCTCTCTCTCTCTCTCT